CAATTTTATATTTGTATGATGAAGAAACTAAGACGCTCGAAAGAGTGTTTCGCGGAAGGTAATTATCTCAAAAAGAAATATACTAGTGGAAGTTTTTCCATCTCCGAAAAGAAATCTTGCATACAATAATAAAAAAAGAAATAGTTAAAGATAAGCAAAAATAAATGTTAAGAAGATATAATCATAGGTTTCGATCAAGAAGAAGTACAGGGTACTTCTTCTTCTTTAGTTCAAAAAACACAATAATAAGAAAAATAATTAAAAGGAAATAATGTTGCGCATGTCTGTTTTTTAAACTGAAGAAGACTTCGAATCGATCGAAATGTATATTTTCTTATTAGGTAAATGTTATTTAATTATTCTATCTGTCTTTGCTCATCTTTGGCCGTTCTTTTTATTATTACTGAGATATTATCATAATAAAAATTGAGATTTTTATTAAAACATCTCGTAATTTTCGAATGCAGTGACAAGCCGGATGTCATGGACGGTCATAAATCTAGAGTCTTCAGCGCTTGCTTCAACCCGAAATCTGCATACGAGCTGATAAGTGGTGGCTGGGACGACACCATACACTTCTGGGATACCAGACAAGCTCATTCTTTTCGGTTCATATCAGGTGCACATATATGTGGGGACGGCTTAGACATCAGTACAAATGGAAAAGAGGTACTTTCAAACTTATGCCTATAGTGAAGAATCAATAAATCCATTAGCTAATTCAATTGAACACAGTAGTGCATATTAAAACCGTTATACACTGTTTTAATCTAAATGTAAAGTGAAATGCAAAAATTTTGAATTATAAAATATATATTTTACAACACAATAAAATATATATTTTACAGCACAATAATTTAAAATATATATTTTAACACAATAAAATATATATTTTACAGCACAATAAAATCTATTAAGGATTTCATGGTTTAATCTATTTTTATGTTTGTGCTAAACACATATTTTTACATCAATTTATGTACGATGATTTTAATATGCACCAATGTGCACTGAATGCGTCCAATTGAAATTTGCTACATCAAATATTGTATATTAATAAATTTAAGAAGAAGTGCACAATTATAACTGTGATAAGCTTCGTAACTTTAACTGCAATAATTTTATAATTTTTGTAATATGACATTTGATAGAGATTAACAATAATAATAAAAGACTCTTGATATTAATAAGAAATAAATATAATAAGGGTCAATATAAAAGTCAATAACAAATTAAATTATATACTAAAAAATGAAATATTACACACTATATTCTAAACAATTATAATTGAAATACGCTATTTCAGTCTTTAGATCCTCTTCAAATATTTATTTAATATAAAGATGTTACCATGATCTAATAGTGTTGATTGTAAAAAATACATCATAATTGCATGTCGTGTGAACAATTGAACATTAACTAGAGGAATTGAAATTGCTCGCCAAAAGATTGAAAGACCGATTGAACAGAATTTCATGATGTTCTAATAAAATTATAAACCAGTAGCAACAAGAATAATATTATATTTCATTATTAATATTATATTTCGAACTTTTTCCACACCTAATATTAAAAGCATTAAACATAGTATCTGGAAATTTCCCATTGATAAAAGAATAGACATTACAAACCATTCAATACCAATTTTAAATAATATCGTATCTTCTCCTCTTAATATCGGCTATTGATAAGGAGCTATTAAAATTAGAAAAAGTAACAAAAGATTATGAAAGATTTATGAAATCATCTCATCCTAATCTAATTTTTATACACACACACACACACACACACACACACACACACACACACACACACACACACACACGCACGCACACGCACACACACATACACACACAAATTTTAATTATAAAAATCACAACGTCTCTAAGAAATCTGCTTTCAGGATAGAAAAGATGTAAATATATCCGATTCGCAATATAGACATTTATCGTGCAGACGGATCACTCTCGAGAGCTTATGCACCAAAAGTTCACAAACTGAACTTAGAATTATTTTTAGAATTATTGTGTCGTCCATAGGCCCATTGTACGCCTTAGTCTCTTTTCTATATAACACGATGTTTGAAATAATTCCAAAAGCGGAAAGTTATATAAAAAATAATTTCTAACTTGTTGATGGGCTCAAAGGAAGCCCATAGATGAATATATAGATGATAATTATAAATTAATTTTATTAGATGTGGTTTCTTTTTTTACAAACATTCCGACAGACATAATCTTAGATTGTCTCAATGACAACTGAAATTTTATTTCGAAAAAATGTAAATTATCTAAAAAGGAGTTTTTGATTGTGAGTTCGATTAATTTTAGATTCCATTTATTTTTTATTTGATAATATTATTTACAAACAGAATTTTGACATGGGCTCTCCTTTGTTACCTATTATTGATTTGATAATGCAAAGATTAGAGAAGATGGCATTGAGTATGTTTAAGGATTATGTTCTTTTTATTTTTGATATGTTGATGACCTATGCGCTGCGGTTCCATTCATCTTGATCTTTTCTGGAATGTTTCAATTCGTTTCAATTCTAAAACTCATCCTAAAGATGATAACTTATTAAATTTTCTTGATGTTAAAATGACGATTAAAGATAATCTTTTAACTTTTGACTGGTATCATAAATCTAGTTCCTCGGGGAGATTTTAAAATTTCTTCTCTAACCATCCATTATCTCAGAAAAAGAGTGGAAAAATCAATTTGATGGATAAAGCTATCTTATTGCCAAATTCTGAATTCTACATGAAAAATTTAACAATTATAATAAACATTTTCTTGAATAATGATTATCCACTTAAACTTATCTTTGACACAATTAATAAGAGACTAAAAACATCAGAGTAGAAGTACAGCATCGGTTGATCGAGTTAATAATAACGTGGATCCATTAACCGTTTTATTATAGTTTACAGTGCCTTTTATTCTGTCTTTAACAGAAAAATTTAATCAATTCAATAGGAATGACATTAAAGTTTCATTTTATAGTTCGAATAAATTACAGAAATACATCAAGACTCTTGACCTTGACTGTTTAAAAATAATGTAATTTATAAAATTAATTATAATAATTGCGATAATACGCATCGTATGTAGGACAGACTAGTAAAGACAGCTAAAAACACGAATTGCTGAGCATCGAAAAAAATCGTGTACACTAGAATACATCTTCCCATTCAGTTATAATCGAACATAGATTAGATAGTGAACATGATTTCGATTGGAACAATATTAAAATTCTTGACGAAGGATCATGTTACAGTAAATGGTTAATTTCTTTTGGCGAACAACTTCGATTCCTCTGTTTAACATTCAATTATTCGACATGCGATTATAATATATATATATGTATTTTTTCACAATCAACACTATTAGATCATTAGATAAAATTTTTTATTTTTTTTTTATATTAAGTAAATATCTGAAAAAGTTTAATTCAAAGACTGAAACATGTAATTTCAATTATAATTGTTTAGAATACAGTACGTAATATTTCGTTTTTTAATATATAATCTAATTTGTTATTGACTCTTATATGCCCTATTATTATATTTATTTCTTATTTGATAGAGAAACATATACTAATTTTTATATAAAAATAAAATATTAATATATGGATAATGAGAGCATTAATACAATACGGCATTAGAGCGCAATATAATAAATACATTATCAATAATTTTACATTGAGTATCAATATAAATTTATTGAACGTTTCCTTCAAACCATCAATGCCATAGATAATTTATCATCAATGTCTTTGATGAACTATGAAGCTTGTAAAGATATTGATGGTAAATTATCTACGGCATTGTTAATGATGGTTTGAAGGAAACCGAAATGTTCAATAAATTTGTATCAATACTCAATATAAAATTATTGATAATATATTATATGTATTGTACTCCAATTACCGCTCTGTAATGCTCTCATTGCCCATATATTAATATTTTATTATTGTTTAAATCTCGAAAGTCCTATAAAATAAATTTTTGTTTTTATATAAAAGTTTTTATAGCGTCTTTAACTACAGATTTTCACGAATAACAGATCCTTACTTGTTCCTGGCAAAGGATCAATCCTATACAATTGTGGGATTACGGTAGCGGCAAATTGATCACCACTGTAGAACCAGATAGTTATTCTTCTTTATTATACGCTGGAAAATACGTAACAAATATGTACATTGCATGCGGTGGTTGCGATGTTAATCTCTTCAGAATCGTTGATCTACGATCTCATTCTGTAAGTCCGATGGAATTTTATAATATTTTAATAAAACGAAAAGAATCACATATTTTGCATGTTAAATATGTAAAATATGTAAATATTGATCACTGAGCATCATTAATACTTGATTCTGTAACGTATTATCACTACTATTGTATTTGTAAAATTTATTGCGATAGAGATAATATTGGTAAATATTATTCACAAATAATACGATATAGCAGATCATTTCGAGAAATAATGTTATGTTAGATCTTTTATTAGGAATTTAATTTACAAAAGATATTTATTGTATGTACAAGCTTCTTGATTATAATTATATATATATTGTACATATAATTATTTGATTCAAAAACTATAAGATTTGAGTTAGACATTTTGATATAATTAAAGGAAATTTAAAGAATTTATCAATGCAATTGTGAAAATTTTGAGATCTGATTTAAATGCAAAATGTTCGTACATACTTACTGTATAAAATAATCGTTTTTACATTGTTCTTCTTTCAGAGTAATTTAACAGTATATGCTCTTTGTTTCTACAGACTATAGCTATGATCAGAAATTTAAGGAGCGGTATGTATAGTTTGGATTTCGGCCCGTTAGAATCGAAGTATAGTAAACGGATTCTTCCAAAATTTGCTTTTTCCGCCGGAACAACGATTTTTGAAGTAGAGGCCCAGCCTGAGTGATTGATTTGTGACATTTATCTTTGATATGCATATATTTTTTACGCAATTCATGCTTTAAAGCTTGAAAAAATTATTTATTTACTTTACAAATGGTTTCCAAAATATAGTTGATTTACATTTGTTAAAATATGACATATGTTAAAATATGATGTTTGTAAATATCTAGTCTGTGTAAGATTTTGGTAAGATAACTCTTTTGATGTCTGCGATTACAGTAAAAAGGGGTATTTAAAAAAAACATAAAGTGATATCTCACCTTCTATATAATGATGCTTGTTGATTTAATTTTCCTCTTTTTATAACAAATTAAATTAAAATATAATATCGCAGTGATGCACATAACATACTGTTAGAAATGAAATAAAATAACAAGAGAGAGAAAGATAATAAATAAATCGATTGTTTTCTTTGTTTTCCGTAAAAATGTTCCCCGTAAGGAATAATACGTGTACTCAAGCAATAAACAATGTATTTTATTTAATACAAACTATAGTACAAAATTTATACAGAACAACGTACGGTTTTATCATCATTTCTCATATGACAGCAAGTTCTCGTATCGAGCGAACGCACACACTTAAGCAAGACTTAAGAGACGAGGGGCGGATTGGAGCGGTCGAAGGAACAGGGTATGAAGAGTCAGGGGACAATTACTAAAACTGAGCACATCAATTTGTGATAATACAAACTTACTTGACACGAGCAAATCCATCGGTTGACAAGCGACATGGTGTAGAAAAAAGATTGCTCGCGCACAAACACGGTGAGAGAGCAGAAAGCGCATCGCGTTTTTTTTTCCTCTTTTTCTTTTCTCAGTACTCGCGCCGTAGACGACACGTCCTGTTTCGTAATACTTTTGCGGCGATTAATGTGATCGGATATCCGACCCACATTGGATTCCATATGGGAATCATTGGATATCTTGTGCATTCAAGTATACTCCAAACTCGTCGACTACGCTGGGCAACATTCGAGACTTTAAAACTATGCTTCTCGCAACACTCGCACTTAAAAAGAGGGGACGAGTCACCTCCGGCTGCGAGATATCGCAGAGAAAAAAAACAGATCCTCCTCCTCCTCCTCCTAAATCGCATCAGATTGTACTTAATCATATAAGTAGACAATATTTAATCTCTAGGTGCGATCCAACAAACTATTCAGGATACTACTATGTTCCAGGACATCTTTCGCCCGTATCTACAATCTAAACGATCAACGAGCCTAATTTGGTTGAGAAATGTGTTTGTAATAAAATATATTTATATACGATAATCGCGACGCGCTCGCGAAGCGCCTCTTAGCAGCGGTCGCATTCGTCAGAGTACATCAGAGTATAAAATTGGTCGTCAATTTGCGCGATAAATCGGGTTTCCTTTGTTTTTTGTCTAACTAAATCCCGCGACGCGGTGAAAACGCGCGTGATTTACAAAATTAACGATGAGTCGATGATATGTATATTTAAAAAAATATTGACACTTAGATACAATGTGCTCCAGAGTCGATCGATGAAGAAGTACAATACGCGCATGCACCCATGAGGATCAACATATCCCCGCTATTTCATCATATTTTCTCTACTTACAGGAGTCAATAGCGGGAGTTTCTGATGAACTATTATCGCTGCATCGTCAGCCGTTGAAAAGCGTTACACGATCAACCGATTTGAATTAATCGAGATAAAGACAATCTATAGTAGTAGGAGTACAAAGAGCAAGTTAATAACAATTAATGAGTAAGAGAGGTACCTACATTCGCGAGAACAACGATCGTTTCAGTCTAAAAGGCTCTTTTGTATATAAATAGCAGAGATGCAATCCATATATATATCCTAAACGGCAGCAGATCTCAAGTTCGATGATATCTAACAAGATCTGATTCATTAAAATTGAAATTGCCTAAGACACATTCCTCAATAAGAGACGATATACGTACAATACTAAATTATTATCTTACAATTTAAGAAAAATCTAATCCACTTGTTATGACATTATTATATCTTCAACTAACTAATTTTGTATTAACTCTCACGCTCATGTAAAATATGGCCGTTGACACAGAAGATTAAGAGGAATCATTTTCGAGGTTCGGAAACGATTAGAAGCTCGTGAATTTCAGTACCCCCTTCCGTATGCACTCATGCTTCCGAAAACAGTCGCTCAACAGAAAACACACTTCGCTACATCGTGTTCTCGCATACTGTACATCACTCTACATCACATTATCACCTATAAATTACTAATAGTGTGGCTTAATATTACATTATCTCGAGGTCTCGTCATATAATAACTTTTCCCGTTACGACAAAATCGACAAAGTCGCTTCGAAGATCAGAGATTTATCGTCTCGCGCGATAACATCATAATCGACGAAAAAAAAAAAAAAAAAAAAAAAAAAAAAAAGATCAAGAAAGCGAAGCAGAAGAAAGGTCAGCGTATGCCCGAGGCTCAGACCTTACATTCACAGCCTGACTGAGCACTCGGTTCTTTTTCTTTTATTCTTCTTTTCTTGCGAACTAAAACTTTCATGCTGTCCTTCGTTAAGTCACCCGCACAATACTCGCGATTACTTTATTTAACACGAATCATGTTTGATTCCGAGTTCACTAGCTTACGACAAAGTGACGTAGAATAATCCCGCCGCAATTATCCCTTCCTGAATTTACGTTGACCCTCTTCTCGACGCGCAGCCTCGTGATTGTTGCATTTCCAGCTTAAAATAATTGAACTAACGTCAAGCCAAGAAACACGTTGACGAGAAGGAACATAAAGCGCCTGTCGTTAATTCGCAGTAAAAAAATCCAAACACTTGTACGAGATTATCGTCTTATAAATAATAAGATACATTATCGAAATGACAAATCATTTTTCTTGGTGAACAGGACGACGCTTGTACGAGATATTGTAGCGATAACGACGAAGAAAAGAGTACAACGAAAAAAAGATCTACTCTTAGAACAACAGGCGCAACCGTCTTGGCTCCGAAAACCAATCTTCATCGCCAACATAAAGAGATCACACGATTTCATCGTCACGGCGATGTACTCACGTGATTGCATGAGTACTCTCGTCCGGATTAGATGCGCTGCGCTCGTGTTGCGCTTAAGAATCCGCGAGCGAAAACAAAAGAGCGTCGCCTCTTGTATTACATGGTGTTGTAAACGGGACTGCTGTGCCTAGGCCTGACCTGTAACCTAGCGAGAGGATGGGTTCTACCATGTTGCTGCTGCTTTTTACTAGCTGCTTTAGCCACTACGCTGGCCATGACTACGCTAGGCGAAGGTACTGCCGGCGGCCTACCGGGGGCTTCCGGCGTCTCGTTGAACAGAGGTGTAGAGTGATTGTTAATCATAATCGGCGCTGACCTTCTCGAGAATTCGGGCGCGATCTTCGATTTTGCTGGCGGATGCACCTCCATGGCGTCCCAATCCTTATCTTTGTGCGCGCGCAACTGAATGTCCGAGCTCTTCCTGGATTCTGGCCTGGCAACTTCATACTTCCCCACCAATACTCTAACAGAGAGATCTTCCACATTATCCTGCGATGACGGTGGCGTTGTCTCGCTTCTCCTGCCATGCTTGTTGTCTTTGGTTTCGCCAACGCTGGACGACGATTGGATTTTGGACTCGTTGTGCGGGATCACTGGCGATGAAGGCAAACTCCTGATTTTTACATCCCTTTTGGGTCGTGCTGTCACCGATGCATTTTCGCCCTCGCATGCATTTTCGGGACTCCTCTCCAACTTGGTCGACTTCGCCTCAAATTCTTTCTTCAGATTTTTAACTATACCAGACGTGCTACGAGGACACTCTGCTTCCGGAGAATCATCCACGGAGAGACAGCGCTTACTGAACACAGATTTGTTGCAGAGATTTTCCAAAACCATTTTGTGGTGTTTTACAGAAGGGCACTGGGTAGTGTTAACGACGCATGGACTGGACGTCTCGCTTTCTGATCTGCAAGATCTCAGAGATAGAGGCAGATCGGACTCGGAGGGCAGGGAGGACGGCGCGGGAGCGCTTGTAGATAGTCTTCCAATCTGACGCATGGACGTAAGGGAGATGTCGATGCTACCTACCGGGCTCGGCGAATTTCTATTTGTTTCTACTTTAAGATTATGTTCCTGAGTAGGCGACGAGTCCCTTCTTCGCGGTGTCGGCGATGGCATGTGATGCAACAGCATTGGATTATACGTCTCGACAACAGAATCTATTTCAGTAGTTAGCCTATCGCTCTTTTCGTCCGCGATCGTTGAGCTCTGCGTGCACACGCGCTTCACCTCGCCTGCGATCGTACCCTCCTCCAATTTCTGCTTAGTGCGTTTTACCGTCCCCGGATGCCAAGGGATTTCCTCTTTGTCGTACGGGAACAGACCACTGGATCCGAGTAGATCGGATGGTCGCATGTCATAAGAGCCCCAGGAACTGTTTCTCGACGGCAAGGTAGCCCACGAGCTGTGCACCGAATTGTTGTCAAGAACCACTGCGCTGTCGTAACTACTCCAGGAACTTTGCCGACTCGGAGATTCCCTTGTGACAGGTTCACCCCGTCTTTCCTCACGATCGAATACTCGATCGAGTTGGGCGCTGAATGGATCGCCATCCTTTTTTATTTTCTTTCCTAAACCATCATGACACGTCGATAACGACGTCGTCGTTGTCGTCGTCGTCGTCGTCGTCGTCGTCGTAGTCGTCGTCGTAGTTGTCATCGTCGCTGTGATCGACGTTGCAATCGTCGTATCCGCCATTACACTCACGTTACACTCACTTTTTACATTCACGCCTTTGTCAATTTTATTGTCATCACACAAATCAGCGCATGTTGCATCCGCGGATGCAGTCCAGACTAGACATTCACTGTTATCGTTGATCTCAGTGGACTCCTGACTCATCTCTTTTCTCTTTACCTTTTGTTCTTCACCGGGATCCCAAGTTTCTTTCTCGGAAAGACCGCTCGAAACGGAAGCTGTAATACCTTGTGTTTCCTGCTCGTAATACGAATGACCGTTCTCGATTGGTTTCGCGTTATCCTCCGCAATCGAACTTTGAGGCAGAGATTTCGCGTCCGTATCGGATCCTGGCGATGATGGTTTACTGCTAGCCGCTTCAAATTGATTAGTTAAATTGAGTACTAGACCCTTCCTCTTCTGTCCCTGAGTTTCTAATTTACTAATCCTATTTTTTACGCTAGGTGTGCCAGGGGTTGGAGCGGGTAGGTGCATTATTTTATTCTGCGACACGCTGTAAGATTGTCCATTGTCGCAGGGCATTAGAACGTTACGAGCTTCCTGTTCTAATGCTGGTTTTTGATTCGAGCCACGAAGAAGATCCTCCCGAGTAACTTCCGTATTTCCTGCTTTATCAATACTTTCCAATGACTGCGACAAGGGAACTGAAACATTATAAAACATAACATTATAAAACATAATAAAAATTTCTACATCTACAAAAATAAAATATATATCTTGTAATTTTAATTGCCACATTTTTTATTTTAATTATTTATTAATATAAATTATTTGTAAAAATTTCTAATTTTCCAATATACTGATCAAAAATAAATTTTATTAAAACTTATTTAAATCTAAATAAAAAAATAAGGTTTTATTTGTTTATGTTTTCTATCAACAATATCATGTTTAAATTATAATACATAAACATTCGAACTATAATACATAAACAGACCATAATAGTTTCAACAAAAAAATTAACTTTAAGTTTCTTAAAAACTTTGTTTAAGAAAGCACAATTAATTAGAAACGACAGGATAGTAAAACTACATACCGGAAGGTAACATATTTTCAGCAACTTTGACATTCGGCGACCAACTCTTTGGTCTCTGGCTAGTTTTCTTCAACTCCGAGCCTGAAACCTCCCGCATATTGTTCTCTATATTATCTGATTTCTCTTCTTTTTTTGATTGATCTTTTGTGGAAGTGGGAGATTTCAGATTCGTGTCAGATTTGGATCTCTGGAGCTTCTCCTTATTTTTCATCGCATCTAGAATACCCTGATACGTTTCCAATTGCAGGAGGAAGCTGTTGTTAGGTTTGATGCAGTTGCGCTTTTCCTTGACGTGTTTCCACGCCTGGGAAAAATCCCAGTTGTAAGCCTTCATCGCATAAGCTATCACCACAGAGGCAGAACGAGACACTCCCATCTTGCAATGCACCAACACCTTAGAGCCTTCCATTTTGGCCTTAGTAATATACTTGAATGTATTATCCCAGTGCTTCAGCAAATCCGTCTTCTCATCGTCATATACACGTACGTTCAAATATGTGAACATACCCGGAAAAAAGTTGTCAATTTCCCGAGTGACATTCAGGATGTGCCTTACACTGAAAATGTATAAAAAAGATTAGAATTAATAACTACATTTAAATATATTAAGATCAAATGTGCGTTTTCTATATTGTAGATAAAATTTTCAACATTATAATATGTAGAGTTTAAAGTTTTTTTTCTCATTACGAAAGATATAAAAATTGTTTTTATAAAAATTTATTAAAAATTTTTAAAAAATTTTATATTTAATAATAAAAGGAATAATTAAATTATAAATGATTAAAATAGTAGAAATAGATCACGTTGTGACACAATTAGAAATGACGAGCAATAAAATTGACATAATGACATGTGACAATACATAAAAAATATTCGTAATGAGATATGTAACGTACCCATTTTTCTGAAGTTCTTCTAGATTGCTAGCATTCCATTCACTCCCGAGATAAACGTGATCGAATATCTCGGTTGGTGCATCCATTTGCCCTAGTATGGTAAGCATCTCTTGATCGATGAACGGTTTGAATTCCCCGAGGTCCATGTCAAGATCCTCTTCAAGTCGACCTCTAATATATTTGGAAGTAACTTCATCAAGATCCACTGACATCATGATCTCTTTTAGCGTCGATCGAATCACGCGTTCGGTTTCTTCTCTTTCCCTGGGCCTATATTACATAAACATCCATGTTTATATCTCATGACAGATCAGAGACAGGCAAAAATCAGTTAAATATCCATAAATGATTGTCAATCACTAAACGATCGTTATATTATATTTCTGTTCATATCAATCATATCATTCAAATATATAACATAGATACATATTTTTTAACTGTAGACATTATTCCATCAATTTAATAATTATCGTATTTATAGATGTAATAAGAATTTTCATCTTTATAGAGCAAAAATACTAAAAGTGGCCTCGTAAACGTAAACAAAGAGATCAAATTAGAATGTTGTGAAGTTTTCGGATATATCAGTTTTCCACGTGTACGCTAGAATTTCGCAATACTGTAATCCAATGATCGAAATGATCTAATACCTCAAAATGTTTAGCTTAGTTTGAAAGGGAAGACGTAGAAATACAGACTGGAAATAATTGAAAGACGGCTATGAAGTTATGCTCCACTTGGGCGCGCGATTCAATGCGGCGCAGACAACCAAGGAAGGCGCATCAACAAACCACTCTGGCACGATACCAAACTAAATTCGCAGTGGCCAGCTGTTTCTTGGATCGTCTTATATGTTGTGCGAATCGATTTATATGCCTCGAGAGGCGTGTAATATGTATTGGAGGTATTAAAAATTGAATGTCTAAGAAATCACCCAACAAGAGAGCAACTTCCTGGAAGAGCTGGTTTCTAAAAGCAATCGAAATTATGGTACTATGCCAATTTCATCAGAAAAGTGCTATCGGATTGTATCCGAATAACCGTCTTATTTCTTAGGTCGCTTTTAAGAGGATCATCATAAAAAATGATCGGACTCACTTGGTGCGTACGCTGTCCGGTGACGGTGGTCTCTTGGACTCCAGATTGTCCATGGCATGCCACTCGTTGAGGCACGAGCGATCGCTCTCGATCCGTTGCTCATAGTAACTGACCCAGTCATGCGACAGTCCACCTAGAAAATAGTTTTGCTCGCGTGCCTTACCGGATACCTTGTGCAATGTCTGTAAGGCCGACCTAGAAAAGAAAAAAATATAAAAGATATTAGAAGATGTTATAAGAAGGATAATCGGAAGCACTGATTGTAAGAAAAGAAGTAATTTCATGTCTCTTGTCTTCATGTCACTTGGCTAAATGCGCCATAAAAGAAATAATTTCGTACACATTTTAATTCTAAAGAAATAGTTGGGAAAACTTTCATTGTAACTAATACTCGCGACATTCTTGTTGTTTATTATATATTGTGACCTAGTTTTCTCTCAGAAAAATTATGTTTTTCTCTTTTTTATGTGTGTTATGCTAGTTAAGTCACTACTACTGCAATTTCATAGTTAGTTTGTGATACTTCGCAAGCATATAAAAAAGTAAATCGATCAGCATCTTCGGAAATTGACGAAAGTTACGATTTTCTGAAGGAACAAAGAAAGTAAGTATACTTTCTAAACACCAGTGGTTTACAAGAAATATCTTTGTGCCCGGATTATGTCGAACAACGAGAGTCAATCTCTTGCTTCGCAGGTAAACCCTTCGGAATTACTATAGCTAGTAAACTTTCCTGTTCGCCCTGAAACTCATTCAACAATCAACGATGGTTCCCACGGCATAATGCTTGCTGCGTAAGGCATCGAGTAAACAAATATTAGCCAACGTTTAAGAATAGGGGCAATGAATTTCGCTTTAAATTTCTTAAAATTATGAGAAACATATCGTGAAAAACAAATGAACATCAATTAAATCTTAATATAATTTTCAATAAGATTGTTTTTTTATTTGAAAAAAATAACATAAACCTACTTCGAAAATTTTCTTAAAATATACACTGAAACCTCGTAATAAATAACGCGAAAAATCCCTTCCGCGCTATTTCTAGGATAGCATGAGTGGGGAATAGATAGTAGCCACTAAAATCTTGTATTTCATTGTTTTAGAATGAAGTAAGAATAATCTTGTAACATTCAGACCCCCAAACCGCGCTATTACAAAACGGAGAGAATTTTCTTTTAAAATTTACTCTGAAAATATGATAATTGTGATACAATACAATATTTTAAAGATTTTTACCATGCACTTCAGTAAAATTAATCAAACTTATTTTATACTTTATTGAAATTTTATTAATGAAAAAAGAGATTTACATTAAAATTCTTTAAAATACAATATTATCCCACGATTATCATATTTTCAGAGTAAATTAAAAAAAAAAATTCTTTCCGTGAAGATTTCAGTATATGCAATTTTTAATTTATCACTTGAATTTATTGCAGATTTTAATTACAACTTTTATTAAATGAATAGTTCGCTCTGTCCCAATTACTACTGCTTTTTTCAATAGTATTAGTATAAAAGTATGAGATCGGTATATATTAAAAATATTATTAATATTAAACTACGACTGTGATATAAATATAAGCAATTGTATAAGATATTCGATGTTCTATATTTGTAGAATAATTAAAGAAATTAGGAATATCACTGAAAATGTAAACTTCATATTCTTCTAATTAGAAGTGAAAGAAGGAGAATTCCATGATTTAAAAGTGTAAACTAACGTATTTCATTACTTATTTCAATAAAATAAGCATAAAAAAGTGATGGGTTATTTTTTAAATTTAATTTATGAAATAGCAGCATGTCAAAGGGACAATCATTTAAGCCTGCAATGTCGGCAGTAAATGAGTCCTGTGTGTGAATATATGTACCATTGCGCTAATTACTACCAACTTTGACATCTATGACTAAAAAAGTGGTAGATAGATATTCTTAGTGTAGAACGATATGGTAAATATTATTATCAAGTATTAAATAATTTATTTTAAAGATATCTTTTTTCTCTCTTATTTATACAATGATTAATATATATATTTTGTTTAGGACGCTGAAGAAGATCAATTCGGACAAATTAATCTAATACAATGTACACGGGCAGTAAATACGGAGGTAATAGATATTAGATGCAGCAGTAATTAAGGGGCTAATATGAACAAAGACTGGCAGTAATATGTTCAATACTTTATATGTGATTGTATTTAAATAATTAATTTTCGAGCTTGTTGCTTTTATTTTGCGTATATTAAAGTTTTTACTTGAATACAATAAAAAAATGATGTCTCTTACATATCTTAAAAATTTTTAAATAAGCATATCAATCACAATTATGTGCTTAAAGCGGCAGTAATTCGAACAGTTACCATATATTATTTTACAATATTCACAACGATAAAGTACTAAGAGATTTACAAAAAAAAACATAAAAGTGAATTTCGCAATTAACTCCTATTATTTTACGAAATAGATATAAATTAAATTTAAAATACAAAAGAAAATAATTAATAAACTAGTAGTATAATTATTAAATATAATTAAGTATAATTAATAAATCAAATATACTTTCGGATAAAATATTTCTAAATATAATGTTCAAAAGTAAACATTTCATTTTCTGTCCTTAATCTATCTGTATTTATCTATCCAGTTTCCACTTCAAATTGATAAATAGTAGATGCATAAATAGTCGATCGTTTTTTTATTCAAATAAGGAAAAGGATTTCTCTAGATTAACATATTCTATGTTTATCTGATATCTCTTATGTGTGAAGATCCATTTATAAATATATTACATAAATCCAGAAACGCAATATTATAACTCATGTATCGTACAATTTAAATTATCAATGGATTTTTGAATCAATGGATTCCCTAATCTTTTATTCATACTTTCTCAAATGTAATAAACTATGTAATAAACCAAATTTCTAAGAACTTTCTCGCATGCTTTTTAAATTACAATAGTCCTATTTTAAAAAAAGAGAGAGAAAAAATAGAAATTATGATTCATGATATCTCTTCCATGTTTTGCCTACACACTTACAATAATAATGTTACCAAAAAGAATATAATCACCCAGATGGACTTCCACAGATCTTATATCAGATTGCAAAGCTCATTCTTGAAGCATCAAAAGAAGATTTATTCGCCTACAAAATCATTCGTCCGAATCGCACATGAATAGTGCATTTAAAGTGCAATAACTTGTTTCTAAAGAAATATATCGCCCAGAATTCTAAGTACTCTAATAAATTTTCAAAAGTAACCAAAACTTTACATGATTATTTTTCAAACAATATGCAAGTTTGGAAAAAATAATAAAGAATAGATCTTGAAAAATTATTGATTTTGATAGTGTGAGTGACCTCAAGATATTTAAATATATTTGGAATAACAAAATTATAAAGTGATCGCAAGAATCGCGATAGTCTTATTTCCTCGTTTCCTTTTTGTTTGTTTATGTATATATATATATATA